CCCTCCACTCCCCCCAGGGCCAGGCCCCCTGGCTCCAGAGGGGTCTGGCGTTCCCACCGGACCAGCCAGCCCCTTCCCGCTCCAGACCTTGTCCGAGGCACTTGTTAGCAAAATTTCTGAGCTGCTGACTACAGAGAAAATGAACTGCTGATGTGTGCGTGTATTTGTCCCTTAACGACTCTATTTACCCCTTGTGGGGAACTTGGGCTTTTCTAAACCTGAAAGGGGAAGTTGAGGTGACCCTCCAAGTCGCTTGTCTGCGGGAATTCAGTTCCCCTCCAGGGGACCCCCGCGGGCAATTTGGTGTGCCTGGGATTAGGGGTGTCGGGACATTTGAGACTCATCCAGCCGTGCACTTCATGGTATTTTAAATAAAACGGCAACAAATTAAAGTAGCACTGGCTTATAACCCAAAGTATAAAATAAACATCCATGAGTTCATACTGATATAAATAAATGACTGGGTAAATAAATGGGGGAGCATAGACAGATTTCCCATTCAGAATTCCAAATTTTTGTAGATACTCCAACATGGAGTGTAGCTTCCCACTCAAGTGTGGGCTGGGCATAGTGACTTTTTTCGAAGGGACCAAAAGAGTCACTTTACAGTAGTGAAGCATGGCGAGCGGGACCTCGTTAGGTGATCAAGGTCACCGCCAATGGTGATAAGTCATAGTGATAGTAAGTACCCTTGATGATATGGTCTTTCTCCCCAAAACCCATAACCCAGTCTGATCGTGATTAAAACATCACACAAATCCCAGTGGAGGGACAGTCTACAGAATACCTAACCAATACTCCTCGAAACCTTCAAGATCATCAAAAAAGGGCAAAAACAAACAAAAAATGGGGAGAGGTCGAAGTCTGAGAAACTGTCCTAGCCATGAGGAGCCTAAGGAGATGTGATGAGTAAATATTATGTGTATTCTGGACGCACTCCTGAGAGACAAAAAGGACATTAGGGAAAACTTAAAGGGATTTGAATAAATTATGGAATATAGTTAATAAAATGTATCAATATTGGCTCTTAATTATGACAAATGCACCATAGTCATGTAAGATGTCAATAAAAGGGGAAATTGGGAGTGAGGTATTTGGGAACTCTGAGTTCAACCTTTGCAACTTTTTAGTAAACTTACAACTATCCTAAAATTTAAAGTTCATTAAAAATAATTGAGGGGTGCCTGTGGCTCAGTTGGTTAAGCATCTGACTCTTGATTTCGGCTCAGGTCATGATCTCACAGTTGTGGGATCGAGCTCTGGGCCAGGCTCTGTGCTGACAGTATGGTGCCTGCTTGGGATTCTCTCT